CTTTGTTTAAAACTGGGTTCTTCTCGGTAGCGATGGAATGCCTCCTTCGATTGCTCGCGTCGAATTTGCTCTCCGTTGACGATCCGACCGTCTTCTATCTCGTGGGAACGATGAACTTCTGTGGAAAGTTTAAGGGATAACTCTGAATGAGTTTTAGAACTCTGAACGAGTTAGAACTCTGTTAATAGAGTTGTTAGAACCAAAAATTCGGTTAATGACCAAGCTGATATTCTGTTGCTGAAGAATCTTCTCAGATTTGATCTTCTGAATTTGATTCAAAAATCCTATCTCCAAGGATTTTACTGCCGCCGCTGTTGAATTACCAAACCTGAGTGGTTGAGATCTTAAAAATCCAACCTGCTACCAACCCTTCCATTCCCAAAAAGCCAGCCTTTAACTCAGTTGAGTTTGTTGAGATTTTATAGGTGGATAAGAGGTTGTAACTGCCCTCTAAATCCGCTCCTAAGTGGGCGTGATTTCCTCAGATCGTGGGGAAAACAGTTCTAAACCGTTCAGCTCGTGTTTGAACGAGTCAAACGCCCAATCTGGCGTTCAGAACCCAACGTCGCCTCTCAGAATTGAGACGCGAGGTTGGGTGTTGCCTGAACATCATTGAACGCGAGGGTCGCTCAACGCCCAATCTGGCGTTCAGAACCCAACGTCGCCTCTCAGAATTGAGACGCGAGGTTGGGTCGTTTTGGTTTGTTGTAGTTTGGGAACGCGGGGGTCGGTGTTGGTTGAACCCCTACGAACGCGAGGGTCGCTCACGTTTAGCTTGTGCTTGGAAACGCGGGGGTCGCCTGCACTTCCAGAATTGTAACGCGGGGATGACATTCGCGTTTTAGAAGGAGCTAGTTGACTTGTAACTTCTTCTGTAAAGCGTTGCAAGGACCATTATTCAGTAATCCTAGCTTTAGTTGTTGTGGAGTGTGAAAATCGTCAGATTGTAACTTTCACTGCAGAATGTGAAGACCGCTGAATAGAGTTTTCATCCATTGTCGGAAGTGTCGTTGAATTGTAACTCTTCTCGATCTATGTGAAAAGTCCTCCATTTGCAGCTTTCGATTGTCGGCGCGAAAGCTATTTGATTGTAGCTTTCGTTGTAGGAACTTGACGGGAATCAACATCCATAGTGTTTTTAGATGAATATTTGCCCATAGCTCTCTACCAAGCAACTCACCAACTACTAATGAAAATGAATTTCCTTGTTTACCTTTACATGTTCCTATTCCTGAAAATGATGCTCCAAATGAGGTGGAGCAAAAGCCTATTATTAATCAACCCAAATCATTTCCTGAAGAAAAATTGAATGATATAATTATTGAAAATCAAGATGAGATTATTCCAAATGAGGTGGAGCATGATATGCAGGAAATAGATAACATGCATGATTTGAATGATTATCAACTCACTAGGGATAGAAATAAAAGAACCATTAGGAAACCTGAAAGATATAGAGATTGCAATTTGATTGATTGTAATATGTCTGAGTTTGCCTTTAATGTGTTTGAATCCCTTGAGTGCAATGAACCTAAGACTTATAAAGAAGCATTAAGGTCAAAATATTCTGAAGAATGGATTAGTGCTATGAAGAGTGAGATGGAATCCCTAAAAATTAACTAAACATGGAAACTTGTTCCTAAACCTACTAGTTGTTCTGTAGTGGACTGTAAGTGGCTGTTTAAGGTGAAACAAGAATCTGAAAGTGTTAGGTTTAAGGCTAGGTTAGTAGCTAAGGGATTTACTCAAAAGGAGGGAATTGATTATGCTGAAATTTTTGCTCCTGTTGTCAAATTCACTACTGTTAGAATTATGCTTGCTTTAGTTGCTCATTTTAATTGGGAATTAAAACAAATGGATGTAACTACTGCTTTCTTGCATGGTGATCTTGATAAAAATATTTATATGCACCAACCTGAGGGCTTTGTGGACCCTAAATTGCCTGATCATGTGTGTTTGTTAAAAAAGGCTTTGTATGGTTTAAAACAATCACCTAGGCAATGGAATATTAGATTTGATAAATGCATGCAATCTTTAAAGTTTAAAAGGAGTTCTGCTGATCATTGCCTGTATTATAAGAATATAGACTCTGTGCCTGTATTTCTTGTAATTTATGTGGATGACATGTTGATTGTTAGTCCTTGTTTGAAGTCTATTGAGCATGTTCAAAAATGTCTTTGTGAAAATTTTGACATGAAAGACTTAGGTGATGCTAAAAGAATCCTAGGCATGAATATTATTAGGGACAAAAACAAATCTACTCTAGTTTTAAACCAAAGTTCATATGTTGAAAAAATTTTGAGTAAATTTTCTATGTCTAATGCCAAATCTGTGAATGTGCCTCTTGCTTCCCATTTTGTGTTAAGTAAGGATCAATCTCCCAATACTGAAACTGAAATAAATGATATGAAGAAGGTGCCATATTCGAATGCTATAGGATCGGTCATGTATCTCATGGTTAGTACTAGGCCTGACATTGCATATGCGGTTAGTTGCTTGAGTAGATATATGTCAAACCCTGGTATGCCTCATTGGAATGCCTTGAAGTGGCTTTTAAGATATTTGAAATCCTCTGTGGATGTAGGATTAACCTTTTCTAAGTGTTCTGAAGGTGTCAAACTTGCTGGCTATGTAGATTCTAATTATGCAAATGATAGGGATAATAGAAAATCTACCACTTCCTATGTGTTTACTTTGTGTGGCTCTTGCATAAGTTAGAAATCCCAATTACAACCCATTGTTGCTTTATCTACTACTGAATCTGAGTATGTTGCTGCCACTGAAGCTTTTAAAAAAGCTATTTGGCTTAGGGGCCTTATATCTGAAATTGGTTTTCTTGATAAAAATGTGGTTGTATTTTCAGATAGTCAATCTGCTATTCAACTTTGCAAAAATCCTGTTTTTCATGATAGAACTAAACATATTGATGTTAGATTTCATTACATTCGGGATATAGTTGAAAAGGGTATTGTCAAGTTAGAGAAAATTCCCTCAGAATTTAATCCTGCTGACATGGGTACTAAGTGTTTGCCTACTGAAAAATTTATATCGTGTCAAAGAATCTTGAATTTTGATTTTGGGTAATTTTGACTTTGCTTTGTGTGTTGCCTTTGTGGCCTATTAACTTGCTCTGTGCTTGTTAGTAGCTTTGTGATTTTTCCCTTTTGAACTCGATGACCGTTTGGTAGGGTTCGGTCCTTTGTGGACTTGGTATGCTTGGCGATCTTACCCCGATCTTTGTGATCTGAGTTTACTTCGTGTATTCTCTTCTATTGCTTGTATCTTCTTTGTGATCATACAGGTAATGATTTGGCGATGATGAGTCCTGCAGTTCCGTGTTTTTTCTCTGTGCACTACCTTGGGTCAAAGGTGGAGATTGTTGCTATTTGTTGGCCCAAAAAAACTGGCCCATTACCTAGAGGTCCGGTTGTTCCCTTTTTCATTCCCTTTCACATTTTCCTTGTAATCAAAAGTCTGTTGTCAACAGTTGAGTCCCATCTCTATTTGTTGTAGGTCGACTCCCACCTCTATTTTCTTTCCTAGGCCATCCCTTCATTGTCGGTCCCCTCCACTATATAGCAATTGAGAGAGACTGAGAGATGAAGTGGGGACTACGGAGTGGAGTAGAACTAGAGCTCTGTGCTCTGGAGATTTAAGTGATCCTCTTCCCCTTTTATGCGATCCCCTTCCTCTTTGTGAGTGATTAAAAGAGAATATCAACGAGCTTCCCTTTGTGTTCTTGGTGGTGCACTAGAGAGAAGATCGAGGACTGGTTGAGCAGGCTTCTGAGCCAAACAACGACAACGACGATCCCCAACAATCCCATAAACCAATTTTAATCCTTTTCTTTAGGTGTTGATATCCTATTTTGAACTTTCTGTTCAAATTGAGATTTCTAATAAATATCAAATTTCACCCTTGATATGAAATCAAAACTAATAAGAAAAGCCTCACTGAAATGTCTAAGGAAATGGAAGGAGATGGTTTACTCACTAATAATAAGTGTTTGGTAACCAAAGTGTTTCTTTTTGTAGTGTTTTTATAAAAAACACCATACCATGGTGTTTATTTTTCAAACGTGTTTTCAAAACACTATTTATAGTTATTATTTATATAGCGGCGGCGGCGGAAGGGCGGCGGCCCGCCGTCTGCGGCGGCGGAACCATCGACGACTCGGGACGACCAACGGCGGCGAGCCGGCAGGGGACAGTGCGCCCCTTGCGGGCGCGCGCAGGCGGCGGATGGCCTTGCGGAACCGACCAACCGATGAACCTGTCGTATCGACGGGCGCGGAGCGACACCAGAGAGGGGCTGCAGGCAGCGATGGGCGGTGATTGCGGGCGGCGGACGGCGACGGCAGCCGACGGGCGGCGAGCGGAGTTGCTCTAACGGGCACGCGCGGGCGGCGGCGGCCCGCGGCGGCGCTAGCGTGGCGGTGGCGGTTGGCAACAGCGGCAGGTGGTGGCGGCCGTGCCAGCGGCCACGGCCGACGAGCAGCGGCGGGCGCTGCGCGGGACAGGGCGGGCCGCAGCATGCCGTGGTGGTGGACGGGCCGACGGGCACGGCGGGAGGCATGAGACGACGGACGTTGATCGTAGGGCGGCGACAGGCGTGGGCTGTTTGGCCTCAGCGGCGGGTTGGCGGTGGGCGCCTGTGAACGCCGCGACGAGTTCGGCGGCGAGCGGGCGGCGGACGGACGGTGGCTTAGATGAAAAAACGGAATCTCAAAACACCTTTTTGGTGTTTTAAGAAAAACGTTAATTTTTTGGATTTTGTAAAAGGTCAAGTTAAAAAATCGCCCCGGTTGACAAACACGTTTCATTATTTTTTTTGAAAAAAAAAAAAACGAAACCGATAAAAACGTCATTGTTACCAAACGCTTAATTTTGAGATGTGTTTGACCGTCAATAAAAAAACTTGATGGCCCAGTTTCATTCTAAACTTGTCCGAACTAAAACTAGTTTAATCCAATAAAAATTGAGCAAAACTTAGCCCTTTTTTCTTCCGCCTTGACGCTGAAATAACAGAGACGACACAAAGTTGAACACCCACCTTCTTCCCGCCTACAAAAATGTTAAAAAAACCCTAGCGAGACGCTCCAAAATCAAGAGGGAAACTTAAAAAGGCCAAAATCTTTTGGAACTCAGCGTGAGTAGAGCGAAGATCAATGGCAAGAAGAAGAAATCTCAGGCTCCCAAGCTCATCCGACGAAGACGAAGAAACTCCAAATCCCCAAACCCTAAACCCTAACCCTAGCCCTTACCCTAACCCCTCATCTCCTCCTCCTTCCCCTCCTCTCGAGATCTCCGACGACGAAGACGCCGAGTTTGCAGACGTACCCGACGCCTTCTCCGATCCCTCTCCTCCAAGCCCTAACCCTAGCCTCAATTCCCCTAATCCTAGCCCGAATCCTGACCCTAACCTTAGCCCGAATCCGAATCCTAACCCTAACCCTAACCCTAACCCTAGTGTCGATCCGATTGACGAGCTGCTTCAGAGATTAGGGCTGAGATTGAGGAGAGAATGGCTGGAGTCTTGTGTTAGTGGGTTGGATAGGTCCGGGTTGGGATTTGAGAGGATGGGGGTTAGTGAAAAGGCGAAGCTTTGCTTTGAGCAGTTTTTGTTTTCGGATATGAGTTATTGTGGTGCTGGGATTTTGCCGGCGAATGTGAGTGGAATGCATAAGGTCGAGCTTGAGGGGCCCTTCGTTCTCCAGGTATGAGTTTAATTTTCTGTTTTTTAAAATTTTTGTTCTTTTTACATCTTTAAAATTGTTGGGTAGGATTCATTGATGAAACTTTTTGCCTGGACTGGTACACTGTTTGCATTTCGTTGCATAGTTTCTTTCCTTCTGTGCTTTGGGTAAAAAAAGAATCCATTTTTGATAGTTTTGTCATTTAAGAAGGGCACTTCATTTCCATTTAGCTGACTTCAGTTCTGTTGAGAAGTATGTGATAATAAACAACATAGCAGAGGTGACAGCTCCCAAGTCCCAGCTGAACTGAGTGGACTAGTAAGATTCATATAGCTGTCCCTATCAAAATTGAGTGGAAGAGTAGGATTCATTTAGCCAAACTAACAAAATTAAGCAGAAGAATAGGATTCATATAGCTGACCTTGAAAGTTTGGGATAAAGGTTTTGTTGCTGTTATTGGCTTCAATTGTCCTTAAGTCCTTGACGATACTTATTTTCCTATTGGCTAGCATTATATATGTTACAGGGCAAAAAACAAATAAAAAGTGACTGGATTTTTCAAGACTTGTGGAGGAGAAATCATTCTCAATTAGGGTTTCTTTCTTACACTTCACCATACACTTACAAGCATTTCTTGCTATTTGTTGCACTTGAGTAAGCACTGGAATCGGTAGGCAATCCTGTCAAATTTGGAACTTAAGGGTATGCATATTATGTGCATGATATGATGCGTAGACATGGGTACAAAGAATGCTGGTGGACCGTGGCTAGTTTGAGCTCCAATAGAGGTCTCGTAGGCTTGAGGAGTTTAGACCAACTGGGATTCACCTATTTTGCAATATTATCTCAAATTTCAACCCTTAAATCATCTCGAGTGGGACAATTTCTAGCAAGAATAGCCTGGTTTATGGGTCCCAGTGGAAGCCCCTATCTTATTATTATTTGTTCTGTGGAGTTCGATATCATCTTATAAAATTGATTTCAGATTATCACTTTTAATGTCCAAATTTCTGATAGATCTTATCACGATTCACGATGGAGATAGTATCCTTGGACGTCAGTTGAACCCATTGTGGTTGACACACCGGCTCAGTGTGGAGTTGTTATTCAGTGCATTTGGTTGAAATCTTCCTTTGACTGCAGCTATTGAGACATGATAAAATATCACCTTTCTCCAAAGTGCTTTTATTTCCTTTCGCTTGCATAAAGACATGAGTAATCAGTTGTTCTTGAAGAAAATTTATTCTATTCGGGAACAATTAAAAGAACGTAATTAATCTTGCAACTTAGACTAACAAATTATGCATCTAATCTTTTGTTTATGTCAGTTGGTTTTCAGTTTTTGTTTTCTTTATTCTAGCTATTGCAAGCCTGAACAGTATCATATTTTATTCACCTGTCTTTGGTTACTGTTCTATAGATTGATGAAGTAATCAATATAGCTGTACCTCTCCGAGAAAGGTATCACAGGGCACATGCTGGAACTAAGAGGTGCTTAAAACTCTCGTTAACAGATGGTATTCAACGGGTGTTTGGCATGGAATACAGGCCAATCAAAGATCTAGATGTCATTGGACCTGCCGGACTAAAGGTGAATTTTGAATTTTTTAGATTGTAACAGGTTTTGATTTAACGTATAAACTTTCATACTTCTTATCTGTTGTAGACATTAACCTCAAAGGTTGTTATATTTTGGGTTTCCCTGTTTTCTCTTTTGCTAGAAAATGTTTAGTGCATGAAACTTGTTTCTATTGCTATATATAAAATGAGTATCGTTGGTATCAATGATAAAATTTTGTCCCTACTAGTGAGGTGGCTGTACCTTAGCCACCCATCTATCTTTCCATCCCAATAACGGACTAACCTTATTAGATGAGTGAGTGAGATGTTGCCAACCTCACTACCAGGAACCAACTTTGTCCTTGGTACCAAGGTTACTTATCTATCACTCTGTATATATGCATCGAGTTGAGCTAAAGCCTACAGTCCATTTAAGTGGATAGGACCCTTGTCCGTCTAACTTTTCATCCATTGATTTTGCTCTGATATTCATGATATGCCTCAATGATATATTTGAGATGTGTGCCTTGATGTATATCACACACTTATAGCAAATCTCAAAGCAAAATCAATGGATAAAAAATTAGCTGGACAAGAGCTTTTATCCTCGTGTGGATTGTAACAACTCTAGGTACACACATACACTCACACATAGACATACACATACAGACAAACACCCACACACACATGTGCAGACACACATACACAGGTGCGCGCGCGTGCGTGTTCCACGGACAAATATTCTTTTTATGAATTGAAAGTTCAAATATTTTAGCTTGTTATAATACATTCGTCCGAATTTTGAAAATGCAAAATTGACCATTTGCTTCAAAGCACAAGGAAGCAATTTTCTTTGATCATTTTACATCATGTGATGGGATGCAGACTTGCAGTGAAATACATTTCTCAGGCTTTAAATAATTTAGCTTTGTATAGGATATGGTTACCACATATGTTTGATTATGACAGAGGTTATAAGTTGGATAATGACCAAATCTTGAACTAGAAGAACTATGGACCCACTGAAAACAACGCTTTGGGTTTTGAACCAGGGTTTTGAACTTTTTTTTTCTGTCTATAGGATTTGGGGATTGTATTTCTTATCATTTGAAGTTTGAACCAAGAATTGCTATTCTACCGGCCAATTATTTGGACTGATGAAATCTGTAGGACAAGAAGAATCTTAGCATAAATCTAGAGTAATAATACAGTATAGTCAGAAGGTCTTATAAGGAGCTCAATCTTAATTAAAATGTATTATGTTAGTAAATAATTTATTTCTTATTATATTAGTATGGTATTTGTAGTAGTTCCTTGCACCTATTTTCTTGAATTTTTTCCCCATAAAATTGTAGTTGCTGATTCAATTTGTTAGTAGTCTATATTTGGATTATATGGTCTTAATAGGTATGAGTACTTTTGAATTACGAAGAATTTCAGTAGAACCGACATATATGCTTTTCCTTTCCTTGATTACTTATCTAAACAATTACAAATTGTATTTTTTTGTATTTTATTATTTTTATTAGAAAGTTTGATATGAGTTCAAACTTGAAAGACTTAAAAGTATATTCTTAGAGATATATTATATCATACTTAAATATTTGTTTTAACAAAAAGTTGAATTTGTTATCTCTACATCTACTTCTTGTATGAATATCTAACTAATAAATCAATTGAACCCACCATGTTCTTTATATGTTAGACTGAGTGCCTAGATCTTCTATAATCTACTGTAGATAATTGTTCGTAACATACATATACGGAGAGGACTTTTAATGCTTGTCCCAGAAGTTTTGGAGGTTCTTGGAGGGCTTGTTGAAGATTTAGAAGCAGCACGTGAGAGGCTTGTTCATGAAATAGATAAGCCACCACGAGGCAAAAGGTACTTTTAGCCATGTTTTTATTTAAGTACTGGAACAGGAACCCATTACATTTGCCTTTTTCTATCTGCACCTTGAAAAGCTTGTCACTCCTGATAGAAAACCTATCATTTTTCACCTTCTTTAGATTCTTTGCTCGTCGAAGAGAATGTTAGAGAGTTGCTTCATGAATCTTAAAATTGCATGATGAAAGTAGTTGGCCTTATAAGATTTACTTCAAGCCCATCTCATGTAGTTTACTTCACCATTATTTGTATCTACTTTAAGGTTATCACCATAGCTAGTTCTAAAATGTTATCTAATTTTTTGTATGCTGTTTTCCAAATTAACATCATTGTGATGGCAAAAGGTTGTGGTGATTATCTAAAAGTGATTGACATAATGTTGCAGAGCATTTATCAGTTTTTTCAGGCAATTAACCTCATATATTATGGGTGCAAAGTACATATAGTTTGTTGTTGTTAACTTTGTTTATGTTACTTTCGAAGGTTATCTTCTCAGATAACTAATATGAAAATTTCAAAAGTTGGCTTCTTTTCTTTTCCCCCGAGGACAAAAACAAAATCAACCGTACTATTCGGTAGTCCTTTTTAGGAAATGATTTTTCATACAGTTTTGACAGGTTTATGTAAAGCCCAGGAACCACGATTTATCTTGATATTGCCATATTTTTTTCCATTGAAAATAATTGTGTCGACAATTGGTGTTGAGAGTATTGAAAAGTTCTATACTGCTCTTGATTCTTGCTAGTATTGGTTTTTTGGAGTTAACTAAATTGCGGTGACAAAGGCTTTTTTTGGGACTTATTTTTTTCTTGTATGTAAGTGGGATACCTAGAAATCAATTTATTCTCTCACCAGAAGGATTCTATGGTTGATTCACTGACTCTAAGCTTGGACGTTATTCTTTTCTATTTGATCTGTTGCAACTTCCAGAAATTTGTTGAAGTTCTGATTATAATCCCAGTAACTCAAATGGATAATATCTGCTGACGAAAAAAAGGGTCAACTACATTGAAGACGTGTATTATTTTACACCCCATTTCTGTATTTTCCTGATACCTACATGTTTCATCCGGATTATAATTCGTCAATTAAGTCCTTACTTCGATATGCAGAAGGAAGCAAGGCAATGAAGCAGTTCCTTTGGCCCAAAGAGCATCTCTTGCAGCTTGGCCATCTGCCACTGCTGATAGTGGTGCTGGGCAACTGAATTTTGCAGTGCCACTGAATTCAAATAACCCACAGACAACAGCTCAAGGTAAGACATATATTGTATTATGTTCTGAAAATAGTATTTTGCAAAGTACCTTCATTCCTTTATTCACTCAGTAATTTTGTTGCCCACAAGTATTGATGNTGGCCCCTAGCAACATGAAACCAGCCTCACAAAAGTAGGGTAACCCTCTTAAAGTATTTCTGGGGACCTGCATCTTAACTGATCTTAACCAGTCAGCCATTATATATACACATGTATCATACATGTTATGTACTGGTGGCGGTAATGTATATTATCCATAACACAGTCCATTATTCCTTTATTTTTCCACATATACCACGTAGTTTACATAATTGCATAATGATGTCCTTCTGCTGGCAAATCTTCTGCATCATTAGAATTAGGATGTTGTCATCTGCTAAGTGATGATTGAAAAAAAATACTTTTATGCTTTATTGGTGTCACGTCCCGCNCAATGCTTCACCAAGTGAATAAAAAGTAGTGAGAGGAATGCCTCATAAATACACTTGCGTGAGATTGTGCCCACATCAATTGTATATGAGAGAATTCCTCTATATGACATATGCATACCCATTAAATCTCTCTCTCTGTCTCTCTGTCTCTCTTGTCTCTCTCTCTCTCTCTCTCTATATATATATATTAATTAAATAATACTATTATATATATTAGCCTAAGATACATATACAACAGAGCATGTAACTAAGACAACAAGAAATATAGATAAAGAAATCTCCTAAAAGGCAGAGTTTAGCTACAAGTCTACATTGAAAAAAGTAAGAGAAAAAATACATCATGGTCTAGAAGCCACATATGGCTCAAGGAAAAGTCTAAATTAAATAACTATCTAAACAACTGAAGCTGAAGAGCTGATAGGATAAAAAGATGATCACTACCGTTAGGCCTGATCCTCAAAATACTCTCGATTTTGTGAAGAAAGAACAATCTCCGAGTCTGGGGTATGCAAACCCAAAGGGAGTCAGAAACCTCCCAACAAGTATGTAAAATGAAGAAATGGTGCACGTGTAAGTGTATGTGGCAGATATAAAGAAAAGCTAAAATTCTAAATTAAATGATGTCAAGATAAAGTCCATCACAACGCACACAAACAAATTATTATTATTTTAGCAGTTGTTTGAATTAGGGGAGAACTATTTCATGTATATAAATCGGGTTCCCATAAATCATCACAGGAACACAGCTTCAAGTCCAGTATTGGACGTTGGCCCTTATATATACCTTTGTATATCAAGAATGTACATGAGCCCGCTTATATACATGTTATATTCTCCGTCCAATTTTCTTTTATGAAAACCATGTTTATCTATTTATTTTAAGTGATTGTGCATGAAATATTGTTCACTAACTACAGAGTTACCGTAGAACGACTTTCATAAAACTATGGAAAAATAATTGTGACAAAAACTTGTCCAATCGAATGGATGCATCGTCTAGTCGATGCTATTATATAATTATAATAATCAAGAGAAACTCACATCGTGATATCCATGTCGAGGGTATAGCCATGTTATGATAGCACGCTTATGAATCATATTTTGACGCTTAATTCTTCTTCTGATGATTGATTCAACCTCTAATAAAAAAGATAGACCTTTGTTCTATTTCATCTCTTCAACAAGTTTAGTAATGAGCAAATTACATAGGTAGAAAAAATGAATTCATATGGTGGCTTTGACATCAACCAATCGTGGAACATATTCCATTTTGAGAGATTTAAAAAAGCACCATCTCGTTGAAAGGTTCTATCCATCTGCCCTTTCTCAACGTAGCACTATCGTCTTCATGCACAATCGACCCTATTAAATATTACTAGGTGATCAAACATAACATCAAATATTCAAACGCATCATCAAATGACATATCTTCACTTACCAAAAAAGAAAATAAATAAATAACATAATTATTTAGTGTCCGAAAAAAGTAAATGGGTTTGGTTTGATAGCTTAAAGATCCACAAATCTGATGTTTTGTTGAGTAAAAAGCCCAAGCGTGTCTGTAATTTGAGTTATAGCCCCAAACGAGTCTAGTATTTGATATCGGGTCCGAACTTGGTCCGGTTCGAGTTCACAACAGCCCCAAAATAATTTTTTTTTCTAAAAAAAGAGGACCATAGGATTCGAACCCGAGACCTAATCCACAACAACCTAGCCTCTTAACCACTAGGACAAGCATTTTGACATGAGAATGTACCCACAGAAAATATTATATACCTGTCATATACTTATTTCTTAAGAGAAACTAAAAAGTAGAAATTAAAGACAACTAAGATGATTGTTCAAATATATTTGAACCCTTCATACCTAAAGAAATACTTTTAGGCCGAAATTAAATAATTGATAATCATATTGTTACAAAGGAAAAAAGAGTTATTTAAAGACTACTTAACTAGAAAATTTTTAATTTGAAATTTTAATTAAGGATATTCACTTATCGTTGTAGTCTAAATAACGGCTTTATATATAAATAAATAGTTAAATTCTTCTTACCAAAACACTTTTAAAAGTAATATAAAATTTTTCTTACCAAAACACTTTTAAATATAAGAAATTTTAATTAAGGATATTCACTTATCGTTGTAGTCTAAATAAAGGCTTTATATATAAATAAATATTTAAAATTTTCTTACCAAAACACTTTTAAAAAGCAATATAATTTTTTTTATATGTAGACTATATGCTGAACTAGAAAACTTTCTTAAAATCAGAAATATCCTACCTCAGATAGTTATCATAGGAAACCTAATATAATATGTAGGACAAAAGTCATTCATTTGATAAAAGACAAATTTTTTATATATATATAAGTATATATATTATAGAGAGAGAGGATGAGAGAAGCGAAGGAGAGGAGAATTCTATTGTCACTTTAAGTGGACTATCCACCAAGTTTCTATCTCATTTGATGTTTCCCTAGGGATCCATGCAAGATATGAAGATGCTTTATAATTATATATATATATATATATATATATATATTATAAATATATATATATATTATATATATATGTATGTGTGTGACTAATGTTGATGTGTGTGTGTGTTGAAATATGGGTATGTTTGTACCAATCCAATTTTGTGCTTGGTAGTGAGGTGAAAGCAAAATTTTGGCGTTGATAGCTGATGTAAAATAGTATGGGTGATGTTTAGGTACCAAGCACAAATTTTGTGTTGGTGTGACGTGGCAATTCCATATATATATATAACTATATATATATATATATATATATATGTATATATTATCATATTATATATATTGGGATGTCTGGTACAAGCACAATTTTGTGCTTGTATGGGGTGGCACAATTCCCTCACTCATTCAAATATGGACCACGATTGTGAATGAGTGTGAGGAGTGATGTGGATATGATGAGTGGAGGGGATTATTGCCACTTCATTACCAAACATAATTTTTTATGCTTTGGTACAGCATACCCATTTCTCTCTCTCTCTCTTCTCTTATATATATATATTCTATTATATATACTAATATATATATATATATATTATTATATATATATATATTAATATATATATATATGTGGATAGAAGTTTGGTGGACAAATCCTCTTGTCCACTTAAGTTGACATAGATTCACTCTCTTCTCTCTTCTATTATATATATAGATAGAGAGAGAGAGAGAGACGGGCGGGGAAAGGGGGGGGGGGGGTGGTGACTATATGATCAACTTAGTGGACAGAGGATATTTGTCCACAAACTTTCTATCATCTGATAATAAATATATCTATATATATATATATATATAAGAAATTGAGAAATTCTTTCTTGTTTTTATTCTGAGGAAAGAATTACATATATACTGTTAACTAAGGAATAAAAACAGAAAAGTAACTAATTGATTCTGTTCCCACAAAATAGGAAAGAATCATGAAGAGGATCACGCATGATCTTCCCTCTACTAAATAAAATACTAACTAAAGCAAATTACAATTAACTCATAACTTTGAATAACTAATTTCAACACTCCCCCTCAAGCTGGTGTATATAAATCATACAACCCTAGCTTGCTACTCAAATCTTCAAAGTTAGGTAGTGGCAATGCTTTGGTGAGGATGTCTGCGATCTGTTGGTGCGTAGGAGTGTAATTCAGTTGCACGACTGCACTAGTGATCTTCTCGGAGATGAAGTGTCTAACAATCTTGACGTGGTTGGTACGATCATGATGAACTGGGTTCTTAGCAATGCTAATTGCAGCTTGATTATCACACATCATTTGAATGTATGAAGGATTGCTCATACCAAGTTCACTAAGAAGTCTTCTTATCCAGATTGCTTCGCAAATTCCATGAGCTAACGCTCTGAATTCTGCCTCCACACTGCTCCTAGCAACAACTGATTGCTTCTTACTTCTTCAAGTCACTAAGTTTCCCTAGACAAAGGAACAATAAGCTGAAGTAGATCTCCTATCTGAAATGTCTCCAGCCCAATCAGCATTTGAATAAATTTCAATGCTTCGATTTTTTGACTTCTTGAAAAATAATCCCTTCTCAGGATTTATTTTCAGATATTTCAGTATTCTGTAGGCTGCATTCATGTGCTCGTCTGTTGGACTGTGCATGAGTTAGCTGACAACGCTAGCAGTAAAGCCAAGATCAGGTCGAGTATGTGTGAGGTATATCAGTCTTCCAACTAGCCTCTGATATTTCCCCCTATCGACTGGAGTGCTATCTTTTTCTAAGCCAATCTTCTTGTAGGGATCCATCGGTGTATCAACAAGTTTGCACCCGATCATACCAGTCTCCTTCAGTAAGTCCAGAGTGTACTTTCGTTGGGAAACAACAATCCCATTTCGAGATCTAGCCACCTCCATCCCAAGGAAGTATTTGAGACTCCAAATCTTTGACTTCAAACTCTTGGGCTAGGCGATCCTTCAATCTGTGTTATTCTTCCTCATCATCTCCCGAAAGTATACTGTCATCAACATATACTATCAAGAGTGCAATCTTCCTAGTTGGTGACGTCCGAATGAATAATGTATGGTCTGCC